AAAAAAATATACAAAAGGATGACAAGGGAAATGTCTATATATACGATGTTAAAGGTAAGGAGTAATAAATAAGTTTATAAATTTCCTTAGGCCTGGTGCCCACGATGCTAGAAATCGATCCGAGTTCTCGGACCGAGGAATATATAATCAATTAACTTTCCAGATAACTAAATTATAAATTAATAATTACTAAATTAATTAATTAATTAATTACTAAATTTATTAATTTATTATTATTTTGCTGAGAAGCAATTATAGCTAATGTCGAAATACGCTTTCGATCATTTTGTACAACATATGTAGGCACAACACACATGTAGTATGTCACATTGAGCATTCTTCCATGGTTGTTCGAAAACTCCTCTCGATACCAACTCCACTAACCCCACCAAGCCCATCCACCACAGCCACTTTCCGTCGTGGACTTTCAGTGTTTTCGAACGCAGCCCTGTGTGCAGGATCCATTATTCATTCATACCTATCTTTGCTAATGGTGAAAGGGCCACTTTCAAAGGCCTGTATACCAATTCGGACGGTCGGAAATTTAATACGTAATAAATCAAAACTTATAAATTCCTTCCTAATAATCTTCCTTCATGATGTGGTAAAAGGGCCACTGAGTACAGGTCTGGAACCATAGAGAGAGAGAGAAAGAGAGGGAAAATTTAATACGCATTTTAACGATGTAAACCAAGCCTATGTATAAAAATAGCGACAGGTTTTATAACCTATTATACTTGTTAACTTTAACGATTAATAGCTAACGATTTAGCTTTGCAGGACAGAATGACGATTTTAACTTTCATATTTGGTTTCTACGCATGAAAATATACAATGGTTGCTTTCCAAGAGACACAAGTCGACACAAACATCATTCTATCTTTGTTCCACATATATGCTGCGTTCGGAAACATTACTCGAGGACTTTCCCTCTCTTTTTATCTCACTCTTGTATTTCGCTCACTCCAACGGCTATCGTCTAGTAGTGTGCACACAGTGTGTGTTTCCGAACGCAGCGTTAGTGAGTAACGAAGATAGGGGCCGCGTTCCGTTTCACGAATATGCGCGCATTTATCTATAGTTTGTGTTACGTATATTGTAGACAATACGCGTATAATACGTGAAACGGAACGCAACCAGGATAAAGGTGCGATTTTACGCAGCGAATAAAAGCTGGCGTTTCACCCCACTCCATCGTTGTTCAAAGCAGCGTTTAAAAGCTGTTCGCTATCACCTGTATCCTTTTCATGGAGCGAATAACCCTACTGAAAAATTTCTATTGAGATCACAATTGAATTCCCAATTGAATTCTCAATTAAATTCTCAATTGAATTCTCAGTTGAGGTTTCCGCAAAATTTCGCATGTAAGATCTCAATTGAGATATTTGTATCTGATGGAAATAATTCATTGAAAATATAATGAACTTTTGCTGAAATATGTTTGAAAAGCATTCACAATTTTGACCCAATTTCATTAAAATTTCATTATAATTTCATTAATATTTCGATAATATTTTATTAAGAGAGTAGAAAAATTCAGTGAAAAATTATTATTAATTAAAATATTTAGAAAAGTATAATGAAGTATTATTTTGTCTAAATAATAAAAAAAAACTGGCATTTTATATTTTGTGTCGTTTCATTTATTCGTGAGATTCGATCTCGTGTCACAAGGTTGT